TTACTTTTATATATGAAGGTCATAAAAATAGTACGACCTACATGAAACAAATTATGTATATGTGAAATTTCATAACTCCTATTTAAGCATAAAAAGTTATCATCTAATTTCGTTCGTAGAATGTTTAAACCTCTATCTTGAAAAGTTATCATTTTGATGACGTGAACTTATCACACCAAAGATGAGTTCAGAATAGGCAGTGAAAACAAAGCAATGTAGGCTCAAGTTTCTGTTCACAATTTAACAAAAACAAACATTATACGCACATTCTGGCACAACTAACACTGTGTGTTAGTATTCTACTTTTGGTGCAAAGTTCGGTGATGCTATTTAAGCGCTTTGATCGCGCCCCCATAGTGGATATTTCGGGGATATTTCACAGGCCATTTTCTTTGATGGCGGAGGGGCGATGAGAATATAAAACGTTGTCGCTAATGACGTAAACGATTATTGACATAAATTCGGCTCTCTTTGGAAGATAAACCATTTTACAAATTGGGCCTGTGTTTTTATTCGGTAAACATGCTAATGGATGTCGAACTTCAAAATTGTTTTGCAACTTTTCCCGCAGATTTTCGCTAATAGCACATTGGCGTCAATTGTGAGAAACGCAAGCTAAACTTCATGTAGATTTTAAAATTAAACTAGTCCGTTTGCCTCTTTCATTATTAATTAGTGTATTGTTATAACTATTTTAATTTAGAGTAGTTTAAACTTTGCAACCCTAAAGTAAAAGTGCAGGCGATTTTGTTTTTTCTTACTATTAACGAAAGAGATAGATCCATTGAACTTAAATTAAGTTTAGTCTGCGTTCACTCGATTCGACGCCGTGGAGATTAGAAATTGCTTGACGTGTATGAGTTAGGAGACTTAGCCGGAACTTCTTCTATTATATGAGTTTTCTAAATTTTCTATTCACACAGTTAAATGATCCCGAAATGTTTGCAAAGTCTTTAGGACATGATTCCATCAATCAATAAGAATAACTTTTAATATGGTGATCCTTTTGAAAATGTCGCAGTCCTTCCCTTTCTGTAGATAGAGCTTTCCTCAGAGAATTTAAATAAATTATGAAAGATGGCAAGTGGAATATTTAATTAGTTTTTAAAACAAACAAGTATTTGCTTTTTAATGAGGTGGTGGCGCCAGTGACCAACAAGCTCTGTTATAACTAATAACATTTAGGACAACATTTTCTACATAGTAACAAAAAAAAAAAAAAAAAAAAACACGTTTCTTATTGGTAAGTGTCAATTACTGGGTGTTCATTATTGGTGAGTGTCGATTCCTGGTTAGTTAATTAGTGGACTTTTGGTGTTCATTATGGAGCTTTAGCCGCTCACGCGATACATGCAGCCGTAGACGCATACCACACCTAGAGGTGCCGGTGATGATTTTATACCGATTTATCGGATATCGAAGTTATAATAGGTAAAAGAACTAATATTAATTGCTACTTCGATAACTACTCTAGCAAACCATAAAGTTTTTAATGCCTGGGTCTGTCAT